CATAGACCTCAGGCTTTCAGTCACTGCAGTCACTACCCCCAGTTCTCTGGGTCTTCAAGGTGCAGCTGAAGCAGCTCACCAGCTGTCTGTCTTCAACCAGATGTGTTAGTGGATTTGCTACATAAAAGATACTAAAAACTATCATTACAATCAATTTCTCATATTTTTAAATTTCAAACTGGACACGTTCTTTCTTCATTAACCAAACTTTTTTTTGGAAAAGTAAGTGGAAGAGACTCCAGCAGCATTAAGATGACATACTGAAAGCTTCACCCTAGTGACCAGGATGAAAGAGACAGACACAAGGTGAGCAAGCCCCTTGCTGTACCTCTCACCCCTTCCCTCCCTCAGCGCACTAAAAACCATGAGAGAAAAAAATCCCCGCTTCATCGGTGGGAAAAATAAGCACATTATTTTCCAAAATTACATTATCTAGAGAAAGGAAGAACTGTGGCTCTAAGATCTGTACTATTGCTACATCAGCAGTTTTCCGACACTGGGCTTCAGACCCTACCTACTGTAGACAATTTTTGAGACAGGGTCTCAATGTGCAGCCCAAGCAGACCTGGAGCCTGCAGGACCCCTGCCTCAGCCTCCCCATTAAAAGTATGCATCACTATGCTGAACTTGCTGCATACATATAAGAATCAAGAGAAAATCCCAACACCTTTGATATGGTCCATCTATTTCCTTATATGTGTCACCATTAGACAAATTTTAAATTTCATGTAGAAAAGGTTTATGTAAGCTACAACAAACCTATTATAGGCTAATATAAAAAACTTATTTCACCCTAGTTAGAATGACTATTATCAAAAAAAGACAAAAAATAACAAATACTGGTAAGGATGCAGAGAATAGGAATTCTTGCACACTGCTGGTAGGAATGTAAAAAGTGCAATCATTACGTAAAACAATATTGAGACCCCCCTCAAAAAGCTGAAAACAAATACCATATGGTCCAACAATCCCACTGCTGGGTGTGTATATATATGAAAGGGAAATAAAATCATTGATCAAAGAGCCTACATATCCACATTTACTACAGCAGCACCATTCACAAGAAAAGTGAAATCAACTAAGAAGCTTATTGACAGATGAATGGATTTTAAAACTGATACACACATTCATACATATACACACACACACACACACACACACCTGTGAACATGCATGTGGTAGATTATGTAGCCACAGAAAGATAAAAATCTTGTCATTTGTGGCAACATAGATGGAATCTAAGAAAAATAAACTGAGAAGATAAAGTCAACTACTACCTGTTCTCATTCATTTGTTGGAAGCTAAAAAATTTGCTTATGTGGGTGTGGTGGCACATGCCTGTAATCCCTGCCCTGAGGCTAAGGCGGAAGATTTGCCACAAGTTTAAGGCCAGCTACATGATGACACTCAGCCTAAAAAAGACAAAAAGAGCAAATTACACAGAATAACAAAATAAAGGCTAATATAGGAAAGATATTATTCACCTATGTAACACACCTGTGTACTTTCCATGTTTCAAAGATCATTTAAAACACTTTATAAACCAGTCGCACACCCTTACAGTCCCCAGCCCTGAGGAGGCTGAGACTGGAGGATTACCACATTCCAGGCCAGCCTGGACTACACAGAGAACTCATGGCCAGTATGAACTACATACCAGAGCCTGTCTCAAAAAGCAAAACAAAAAGTCATACGCCCTATGGATATAGAAGCTGGGGAGGGATGTTAATGTTTAACCTGAAGACCAGAGCTCTGATGGTTCTTGTCAAATATCCAAAGGGTTAGGTGTGGATGAGATCAAGTGGCCCATTTCTGTGTGATAGGCAGACAAAACATGACACTGATCAGAGTTCAACAGAAACACTGGACAGCTGTCAATGCCAACATCTCTATTAAGTATTAAATGTGACTATATTAAAGAACTGTGTGTGCTATGAATCAAAACACCTCCGTTATTGGAACTAACTTTGCTGCAACATGGCAGGTTTTACAAGGCTAATAATCAAGGGCTCACTAGTCTGGGCTATTAATTTCACTTCTAACTTTGCACCTTATACTAAGGATGTAACTTTAGTACTTCCCTGGCTCTCAGGGGTTCACATTTCTCATCTTAAAAATAAGGATAAATCTCATCTTTCAGGGTTGTTGTGGAGATTAAATGTAACAATACACACAGCCCAGGGCTGACAAAACATATTGCATCTGCAATGGTCGCAGGAACAACACTGTCATCATCACCTGCTGTGGAAACAATCTACCAGAAATATAGAACTCAGTGCTGCACAGTTCACCTGCCACTCTGGTTTGCTCCTGCAGAACTGTGACTTCCCTGCGAACCTATGGTGTTCTGGCAATCCAAGACAGCACACAGCTTGTTTTTATTTGGGAATTTAAAAGGTACTTATCCTTTTCAATTTTAAAGAAAAAAAAATCCTGGGGCTGGGGAGACTGCTCAGTAGAACAGCGCTTGCCTGGCAAGCGCAAGGGCCTGAGTTCAATCCCCAGTTCCTCCAAAAAAAAAAAAAAGGAAAAAAGTTCTTAAAAAATAAGTAAAGCGGGGCTGGGGAGATGGCTCAGTGGAGTAAGTGCTTCTCTGGCAAGCGCAAGGGCCTGAGTTCAATCCCTGGTTCCGCAAAAAAAAAAAAAAGTAAAGCCTCTCACCTAGTAATATATCAACAGCAAAAATAATCATTAGATAAAATAACAGCAAAGTACCTCACAGGAGAAAAGACGAAACAGCAGCTCTTCGTGGAGGAGAGAGAAGGGCTTTGGGGGGAGGGCTACTGCTCACAGGTGTGAGATTCAGGGTTACCCGTCATCAGAAATAACAACATAAATGTGGGTAAACAAAACAAAAAATTTCCTGTGGAAGCTGAACTTCAACCGCCTCAGGGTAAGAGTTTAAAGGTTTCCTTTAGCAATGTCTTCGTAACTACCAGACTAAAGAACCTGGAAGCCCAACAATCCTGCAATTCAGGGCCTTTGGTGAATGCTACAGCTCCCTCTTAAAGGAGTTAACCTCAAAAGAAAGTCTGTGTGTTTTCTGAGGTATTTCAAGGTAATGTAATTAAACTCAAAAGACAGTGGCCAGTCAGAAGGGCCTCACAAGCCTGTAATCCCAACACTCGCCCAAGGAAAGACAATCTCAAATTAAAAGCTGGCCTGCACAATTTAAGGAGACTGGCTCAAAGATAAAACAAAAATCACTTTTCTTGATGAGCATGGTAGTGTCCTGTCTGTTATCCCAGCACTCAGGAGACTGAGACAAGAGGCTCACTACAAGCTGTAGGCCAGCCCCGGCTCACAACACATACACACAAAAAAAGCATCAAAACTTTAAGTTTAAAAAGGGCTGAGGGCGTAGCTCAGTGTGAAGGTCCTGGGGTCAATCCAGGCAAAAACAAAAACAAAACAAAACAAAAACCGAAGGAAATCCCATAAATAAAAAGTACAATTATATGCAGACAAATCTGAAAAGCAGTCTAGTAACTGACTAGTAACTGGGGAGCCTTTGACAACTGTTTCCCAAAGGGTAGAATACAATTCTTATCTGGAAGCAACATTACACAAGTTACAATAGTGAAATGGTTAATGTAGGAAGGAAAACATAGGGACGGCTAGATCATGATGTATGATACTGTCACAATTATACTGTAAATTCAGAAAACAAGTGCAGTTGTTTGAGAACCATACAACTCTAAATGTACTTTTCAAATTTCAATTTTTATCCAAATTTTAGATAAAGAGCTAGAATCTAAGAGAATTATGGGAGCTTATTTGGAGCAAAGAATTAAACATATTCTAACTGAATACAGAAAACTGTCATGCCAAGTTAAAAGCAGAGTTCTCAACAGTATTTGTGCTCAACTTGAAAAATCAGCCTATTTAATAAATGTTAAAACTATATTACTTTAATTTACATGCCAAAAGAATACCCACCTCTGACAGGACTAAACAAAAAAAGGGGATACAAAGGAAAGATCATTTTGTATATATACAGAGTAGATATACAGCTATTTTCGCTTAATTCAATGAGAAGAGGTGTACTAATAGTGGTTGGACAGGATATCCTGTCTGCTTCTTGTACTATTGATAACCACTAAGAAGGCAACAATGTACAATGTATTATCAAAAATGTCCCATTAATCAGCTTTGAAACTGTTTCATTCATATTTGTTTCTCAATAAAACTAAAATAAAAAAAGTATTACTTTAGCTTTCATTAGCAAATGTTACTTAAGGCCCTGGGTTCAATCCCACACCACGTGAAGTAAAATGTAAACAAATTCACCATTGCTTAAAAGTCAACTAACTCAATAACTTTATTATTCTTCGAAAGAAACAAAACTCAGCTGACAAGATATGGCCAACGAGTCCTTCAACAACAAACACCCTACACTTCCCCAGAGACTATAATGAAGTCACCACAAAAAATCACAACAGTGTAGTTAGTCATCGAAATGAGATTACTGGCAATTATCTACGTAAAACACGCGAGCAAAATAGCTACTTTGAAGTCATTTTACATATTCTAGGAATCAACTGGCAACAAATTTCTACCGTGCGGCTTTCAGAAACCCAAGGGTTCTAAGTTCCTCAGACAGCAGACAAACTAGGCTAACAACTTGTTGACAGGCAGCGATCACAACCAGGCGTGGTCGCCTCGGGAACAGCCCCTGGCCAAAGAAGGTGGGAATTTGCGTGTTCAAAGATTCCACGCTAGGAAAGAGAAAGTTCTTTCCATAAAGGAAGAAAGGCAGGTTGGATGAAGCAAGCTAAACTCTGCTTGCTGGCGGTGGGGACGCTGGTGCCGGAGGCCCGGCTGGAAGGCAAACCCGACAGCTCAGGCCCCCGCGGGGACTGGCCTCCGACCGCCGGCGAGCTGTTCCGGACCGGCCGGGAGGCGCAAGCCCGGGCTGCAGGAAAGGGAGCCCGCGATCGAGGGCCTCCGGCGCACGCCGCGGGCTGGGGCAGCGAGGTGGACGGGGCAGCGCTGCTCACCGTGATTATCTTTCTGCCCGATGTTGTGCGTGCGGATGAGGGACGAGAGCCTCCGCACATCCCCCTTGAACACGCACTCGTGCACCGGGTAGTGCGCGGGGCCGCTGCCTCCGTCGGCGACCACGGCGATGGGGCCGCTGCCCGCGAGAAGGGCCGGGGGCTGGGGAGCGGCGGGCGCCGCGTTGTGCAGCGGCAGGGCCGGGG